CTCCATCCTCCCTTCTACTTCGTTAGTTCAGCGTTTGTCATTTCTAGCTTGGAAAATTGCAGGAGCTTTCTAACCGGTTAGTCTTCCTATTTGTCAACTCTTCCCGTCTACTTTGCGAACTACTGTTGGAAGGATCTTTCTAAGTCGCAAATTCGATCATTCTGTTTTGTACTTAAACTGCTTAACAGGGAGCCATTGCCTCTCCTATGAATTCCACGCTCAGTGGCACGGCACTGGAAGTCCTCTGTCATTTAGAGCCAGTTTTCCTTTCTCTTCGTGTCTAGAGTTGGGTCTCCCTACCGCCCTCTCACAGCCGGCACTCTAGCCCACAGAACCGCTGTTGCTTCTTGTTCTCTGGAATTCCGCTATTTCACAGCCGTGTCTCTGGGTTCATAGTGCTTCTTCTATCTGCCTTTTTTCTTTTGCCTCCTTGGAAAATATCTCTTTATCTTTGAAAATCGCAATAAAGAATCGGTTCCTCCATAAAGTTGTTATTCTCAAACCCTCATATAGAATTGAATAATCTCTTCTTTGTGTTTACCCTTCTCCCAAGATGCTTGGCCAGGCCTCTTCTCCCTTCTTATCAGACCCTCTTGGTAGAGTTTCAAACAGTCCCTCTCGTGAGCATCCTCCATTTACAGTGTTTGGGACAGGCCTTTTCTCCCGCACTCAGGGTGTGAGCTCCTGAGGAGCAGCGAGCGGCTTTGGTGTCCTCATGTTTGACCTTACATCTTTGCCTAATGCCTAAAAAGCATTGAGAACATATTCCTTAAATAAGTTTTAAATACTTATCCTCTAAATACCCTAGCATCTTGAATCATTGCTCAACATTATTGCTGTTATTGGAATTGTATTTTCAGTGTCTTTCAAGTTAGCAGCACTTGCTATTTTTATTCAAAACAGTAATCAAAGAGTAAACATTCTCTTAAGATTTCAAGACAGGTGAATCATTGCATCCCCAAACAAATATTCAATTTGGGAGAAAATGTGGGCTAAGATAATAAAAATTTGATTACAAGTTTGTATTACAGATCATGAAAGTAACTTAAAGATTATTTCCTGTTCTTATTATGCTTCAAATCATCCAAGAGACTTTGAAAAAGTACAGGTCCCTGAATCCCATTCATAATCTGATTTGGGGAACTCAGAAATCTATTTTTAAAGCAAAACATTAAAAAATACTCTCCAAGTGATTCTGATGCAGTATGCAGTCAGTCCCTGAAAAAGCATTAGGGAATCACTGATTCAGGGGCTTTATGATAATTTTAATACACAGCCAAGATCAGAAACCCATTTACAAAGATAAATTCCAAATAGTTTATTAGTAATTAAAACCTCAATTTATTGTTTTGAACATCTCTTACCTGGCATAGAGCTAAAAATCTACAATGCTCTTTACTAATCTGATCCTTTTTCCTCTCTATTTTACTGCCCCTAAAAGTGCTGTGCTATGTAAAGGTACCATAAAGAGTATGACTGCTATCATGTTAGGAAATATTTCCACGATTTTAATGAAAACTAAAAATGTGCAATTCTTCCAAAATGTACGTTCTTGTTACTTGACATTTAAACCTTAATTAACTTAAGAATAGGTTATAGTAGCATGACAGCTGTCTACTCTGATAATATGTAGTTGTTAAGAGAATAAATATATCACAGCAGAAATACTCTTATAGTTGGAAACATCTGGGATTAAGCCAATTAAACCATTTCATCATTGTCAGTAAAAGAATGAACTCCTTTGGTATTTCTCCTCTGGTTTTGAGATCCATATGCATGCATAGAGTACACTGTAACCAAAAACAAAAACAAAAACAACATTAAGTACACCTGGCTAATGGAAGTATCCCATACTGGTTCTGGACTCTCCCACATTATTGATCTACTTCTGTTTCTAGACTCCAGAGAATGCATTCCTATGTTTCTTTAATGGGCCTGGTCACTGAAGACCTAAAAATGTGCCTACCTTTCCTTAACACCTGGTTACCACTAGTTACCAATTGCAGTGCAGTTAGGTTGTTATGAAACAGGTGAATCAAAGGGTTGGACCACACATACTAACCTGTAAAGGAGTTAATTCCAAATGACACATTTAATAAGAGGACAGGCTTTCTAAGTATGTATTTGTTCAGTTAATTTGTGTCTATGTCCACAGTTTCTAGAAATTCACAAAGGAAGATGACTGGAAAAGAGGGGTCTTTTTGATTCTGCAAAAGTCTGTTTGGAACTCTTTTTTGCAGTGAAGGGTAAATTGTGAGGCTCTGACTCAGAGATGAAGAGGATTACAAAGAAAGTATTAATGGGAGGATGATGACTTCTCAGCTCAGAATGAATTCTAAAGTCCTTAACATGGAAAAAGGTTTCCCTCAAAGATATCTCTGACTCAGTTCTTACTGCTTAACTCCTTTACTGCTTCCACTCCTTTCCCCCTGATTTCCTTGCCCTTCATGAAATATGCAGCACAAGCCAGGCTCAGAACTTACTGTTCCTGTGTCTCCAAAGTACTTAGCCCAGAGCTCTGCTTGACTCCCTCCCTGCATGCAGCAGTCTTCCAATGTCACCCTCCTGGCAGAGCTTTGGGGCTGCTCTATGCCGGAATCCTCTGTGCCCACCACCACTCTCCATGCAGACCCTGCGCAATTTTTCCTTATAGTACTCTTCACGTCCTGACTAGTTACATGCTTGTTGTATCTCTGCCCACTGAAACTTAAGTTCCATGAAAAAGAGGCTACATCTGTCCTTCACTGTAGTTTGGTTTCTTGAACAGTATCTGGCCCATGAGAAATCACATGTAAATATTTTTTAACTGAATCCATATATATATGTATAAAATTTCAGCTTACTGAATGCACCAGTGACTAGTGGGAAATTTTTGAAAGTATAGTCTCTCCAACATGATATATGTACATGTATATATATATATATATATA